CCAATCCATCAGAGAGATCGCAGCAACATTAAGAGCGGCCAAATCAACAGTTTGGTCCATTCTGAGGAAAGAAAAACGCACTGGTGAGCTCAGCAACATAAAAAGGAATGGACGTCCATGGAAGACAACAGTGGTGGATGATCGCAGGATCCTCTCTATGGTAAAGAAATACCCATTCACAACATCCAGACAAGTGAAGGACACTCTCCAGGAGGGGGGCGTATCATTGTCAGTCTACAATCAAGAGAAGACTTCACGAGAGCAAATACAGAGGGTTCACCACAAGGTGCAAACCATTCATAAGCCTGAAGAATGGAAAAACCAGATTAGACTTTGCCAAAAAAACATCTAAAAAAAAAAAAAAAAAAAGAAGCTGGACCAGTTCTGGAAAAGCATTCTTTGGATGGATGAAACTAAGATGAATCTGTACCAGAATGATGGGAAGAAAAAAGTGTGGAGAAGGCTTGGAACAGCTCATGGTCCAAAGCACACAATGTCTTCTCTAAACCATGGCGGAGGCAGTGTGATGGGATGGGCGGAGGCGGTGTGATGGGCGGGAGGCGGTGTGATGGGCGGAGGCGGTGTGATGGGCGGAGGCGGTGTGATGGGCGGAGGCGGTGTGATGGGCGGAGGCGGTGTGGTGGCATGGGGCGGAGGCGGTGTGGTGGCATGGGCGGAGGCGGTGTGGTGGCATGGGCGGAGGCGGTGTGGTGGCATAGGCGGTGTGGTGTGATGGGATGGGCGGAGGCGGTGTGATGGGATGGGCGGAGGCGGTGTGGTGGCATGGGCGGAGGCGGTGTGGTGGCATGGGCGGAGGCGGTGTGGTGGCATAGGCGGTGTGGTGTGATGGGATGGGCGGAGGCGGTGTGATGGGATGGGCGGAGGCGGTGTGGTGGCATGGGCGGAGGCAGTGTGGTGGCATGGGCGGAGGCGGTGTGGTGGCATAGGCGGTGTGGTGTGATGGGATGGGCGGAGGCGGTGTGGTGGGATGGGCGGAGGCGGTGTGGTGGCATGGGAGGAGGCGGTGGCATGGGCGGAGGCGGTGGGATGGCATGGGCGGAGGCGGTGGGGTGGCATGGGCGGAGGCGGTGTGGTGGCATGGGCGGGGGCGGTGTGGTGGCATGGGCGGGGGGCGGTGGGGATGGGCGGAGGCGGTGGGATGGCATGGGCGGAGGCGGTGTGGTGGCATGGGCGGAGGCGGTGTGGTGGCATGGGCGGAGGCGGTGTGGTGGCATGGGCGGTGTGGTGGGATGGGCGGAGGCGGTGTGGTGGGATGGGCATGCATGGCTTCCAGTGGCGCTGGGTCATTGGTGTTTATTGATGATGTGACAGAAGCAGCCGGATGAGTTCTGCCGTGTTTACAGATATACTGTCAGCCCAGATTCAGATTCATCGCTCGTGGGGCTGGGTGATTGGATCATTTGCAGTGGTGGTGAGGGGGATTGGGTTCAGTCAGTATGGCAGTGCTGGGTGGAGAAGGGATCAGTCATCACTGGCAGTGGTACTCGCTTTCTCTCTGGAGTCCAGCTTCCTCCACGTGTCTGTTGGTAGGTTTTCAGCACAACAGTGACGCCTATCCTGAGATTAGAAGATGGGGGTCTCCTCACAGCAGAGACCTCCTACCCCCTTCACGAGTCAGCTGACCTCTAGTTTCCGTCCCCTGGTCCTGATGGCCATGCCATGAACTCAACTGGCGGCTGGGTGAGCGGTGCGGACTCGAGGGGCAGCTGCTCTGGGTCTTGTTGGGATATGCGGCTCTGGCCCACTGGGCAAACGCCTGGTGTGCCATGTGGCCAGTGCTTGCCTGCTTGACGTTATCTGTTCTTGGTATCAGAGCAGTTGCACAAGTACGAATCCTCAATATTGGCATCGACACCGGTATCGATGCAACACCAATTCCAGTACAGTGGCAGAGTGGACCTCATTCATTTTCCATTAACTATAATATATATGGTGTTAAAAGCTTTTTAATGTTGAAAGTGGAAAGTTACCCAAAACATCTTGATAAAAAATGTTCTTTAGCAAGGAGCATACATTCCACATTAATAATAATTATGCTACCAAAATGAGTGTGCTGTAAGTTGTCTCCGGCATTGTTCCTTTTTCTTCTTGGTGGAGGCGGCCATTTTGGGGAAGCCTGAAGCCCTGAAAATCTTTAGGCTGTCAGCAGATTGGCCTCTACAATTTCGGACAAGTGCCTAGCAATAGAGGGCAGCTGTGCAGAGCAGGGTGAGAGAGTACATTACTGGATGTTACACAGGCCAATCACAGAGCCTTGTATTCATTCAGAAGATACAAAGTTTCCTGTGAATGGCTGAGCGGATCTCAGCCTAACTGTTTTTTTGTTGTCGAAGATCCTGGCCTGCTGCTGAACACAGTTCTGTATACTGCATGTTGCTGAGGCTATATTCATACAGCACATCTGTTAGTTTGGGCCAGCTTGGTCTTAACCATTTACTCTGCACTAAAACATGGGGATCGGCTTTAAACTTTGGGTTTTTTGTGTTTTTATGGTATTTAAAAAAAAAAAACAAAAAAAAAAAAAAAACGTTTAATGCTTAGCCCGGGTTCACATATGTGCGGTATATCGCATGTGATTCACACAGGAACCGCACCGCATTCCTGTGCAAATCACATGTGATTTGTGTGCGGTGTAATTGGAGCCGTATATTATGTATGGCTCTGTTAGCACCGCACCAAAAACACGCAAGTTTCTTTTTTTGGGTCCGCAATAGAATCGGATCGCACGGGTATTCACACCCATGTGTTCTGATTCTGCACATCGCACCGTGTTTTGCGGACCGATTTCGGGGTGTTAACCCCTTCGCACCGGCGCCTCCCAGCCCTTTAAGAGTTTCAGGAGGCGGGGCTTGGTTTAGGGTCATGTGACTGCCGCGGCGTGACCGGGAAAGGTCCCGAATGAAAGAGATCGGGACCTTTCCGTTAGTACCAGATGTGTGCTGGGAGCGCGCAGGGCGTGCGGTCTCGGCACACGTGATTTTTTAATAGAACGCAAATGTGGGGCCGCTCGGTGTCTAGGCCCAGGCGCAGGGAGGTCGTACATTTGCGTTCAGCTGGCGTGTAGAGGTTAACGTACACACCCGCAGCGGTTCACATGAACAGGGTGCGATTCTGATGCAGTGCGCATTTCATACTGAAAACGCTGCAAATTCCGCATCCTTGTGAACCCGGGATAAAAAGCCGTAGATGATGATTACTGCCTTAGTACAGGTGCTCTTTACTTGGTACAGATAGTCGCATGCATCCAGGGTGAGCTGCATAGAATGAACGCTGCGGCCTGCATCTGGATTGCTCTTCGCTGGTGGAACCGCTCAGCTCCTGGAGGGTTTTGACTGTCAAATTTAATGAATGAATACATTTTTTTCTATATCCCATTTCTTTCTGCATTGTGAAATCTTTTAACCTCCTTTCTTGCAGTGTTCCCGCCTTACACAGTCTGAAAATGTTGCGTGTCAAAATCCACCTACCACACCAGACTCCTCCGGATCCCAAAAAACATCTCGTCAAGTCAATGGACTCATCAATTGGTGAGAGCCTCCAGGGTCATGATAAAGTGAAGGTTGAAGTGGGATTGTGCTGAGCTGGCACCTTGTGTGGCTGTTTTCCTCCCTTTTTTTTTTGATGAATGTTCCTTTTTTTTTTTTTTTCTTTTTGTTTTGGGAAAGCTGATTTCATCAGTGCTGTGTATGCGGTTTGCTCACTCATAAATCCTGCTTCTCCTTGTATTGTGTTTTGTATCTAGAGCCTTTTCTCTGGAATGCCCGCCTGTGGGGCCCTTCCCCTGGAGGGCTTGTTTGTAATGCTTTTTATGAGTCTGTGGGTTTAAATTCGTGATTGTGATGAAATTCTGCAAGCGGAGGAGAGCCAGCCGCCTTCATGTGCGATTCTAGGCCTTCGTTCCTCCTTTTTTCTGAAGGTCTTTCCCTTTTTTCAAAATACTAAGTTACCGGTTGTTAGTGTTGTATGTTAATTGGGCCCTTTAATTGCACATGGCTCTCTTGAGAGTAGAACAGATCCATCCCCAGGGATGTTTGCTGTGTAATAATCAGGAGCAACAGTTGCACACATTTCCATTCAAAACAGTCCTCAAGTGAGCTAAAAGCAGTTACAGTATACATAGCGCTGACGAGATCACCCCACTCACGATGTGATACAATCCATGTTCTGAAACACGCTGGATGTTACAAAAACGCCAGTAGCGTTGGCTGTAGGATGCCGCATTCAAAACGCGGGTTTTAAAAAGAAATTGCCCAGTCCCAACGCACGTTCCTGCATCAAGAAATGGCTGTAAGTGGGTGCTGCAGCAACCATCTGCTGGAACCGAGAAGAATCACAGGAGAAGAATGTCGCTAGCACACCGAGGATCTCCAGTATAGGTTCACAGCTTTAACCCCCTTGGCGCTGGCACCTCCCGGCCCTTTAAGGGTTTCAGAAGCTGGGAGGCGGGCGGGGTTTTAGGGTCATGTGACCGCCGTGATTTCGTCGTCACTGCAGTCACATGATCGGGAAAGGTCCCGATCGAAAGAGGAGATCGGGACTTTTCCGTGAGTACTGGACGTGTGTGCTGGAAGCGCGCTCTCAGCACATATGTTTTTCTTAATTGCACGCAAATGTGTGGCCGCTCTGTGTCAAGGCCCAGACGCCGGGAGGCCTCACATTTGTGTTCGGCCGGCGGCCGGCGCCAAGAGGTAATAATCTGAAATTTTGAAGTGAAATTTCTGCCTAACAGTAACTGTGTAAGTAAGGCCTGCACACTGGATGTTACAAAAACGCCAGTAGCGTTGGCTGTAGGATGCCGCATCCAAAACGCGGGTTTTAAAAAGAAATTGCACAATCCCAACGCACATGTTCATGCATCAAGAAATGGCTGTATTTGTAAGTGGGTGCTGCAGCAACCATCTGCTGGAACCGAGAAGAATCACAGGAGAAGAATGTCGCTAGCACACCGAGGATCTCCAGTATAGGTCCAGAGCTTTAACCACCGTTGTATATAAACGACCAGACGGTGGCAGTGCAGGTCAGGTGGCCGTTTATAAACAGCCTCCGCTCCCCCCGCTTGTGCGTGCTCCCTGGGAGCTCGCAGCACCACGATCTGGTGCCCGCTGTGTCCTCCGGACACAGTGGAAACCCGATCATTGGACGGGACCTCTGTGCGAGGTCCCGATCACATGCAGAGTAGTAAGCAAGATGTCACTTCTGACATCATTGCTTACTACGTGTGAAATCTGTGAATGATCACAGAGGTCACATGGTACAGGGCTATTCACAACAGCCTTATACCATGTGACAAGCTGTGACCAATCACAGCTCACTCAGTAGTTCTCAATGGCTGCAAAAATGCAGCCAGAGAGGAGAAATTAATGCATTTTTTACAGCCTTTATGGGTATAAAAGCAATCGGTGTAAAAAAAAAAAACAAAAAAAAATCACCCCCCACAAGTAGTACAGTGTCACCATGGTGACACTGTACTGCTAGGGTGACAAGTATGTAAAAAGAAAACATAATATAAAAAAAGTAAACAAATGTTTTTAAAAATTTATAATTTTTGGTTATAAACTAATTTGGGTTATTTTTTATTTATTTTTATTTTATTTTTTTACTAAAAAGATAACGGAATAAGTTTAGGCCAAGATTTATGATAAAATACTATTTGCAAAATTTAATAAGAAAAACACTTGTTTTCAAAATTTTTGGATGTTTTCATTTACATAGCAAAAAAAATAAAAATCCCAGCGGTGAATAAATACCACCAAAATAAAGCTTTATCTGTCTCAAAACAAATGCTAAAAAATCCATATGAGTACAGTGTTGCATGACCCGCGCAATTGTCATTCAAAGTGTGATAGCGCTGAAAATTGGCCTGGGCAGGAAGGGGGGGGGAGTGTCCGGACTGGAAGGGGGGGAAGTGTCCGGACTGGAAGGGGGGGAAAGTGTCCGGACTGGAAGGGGGGGAAAGTGTCCGGACTGGAAGGGGGGGAAAGTGTCCGGACTGGAAGGGGGGAAAGTGTCCGGACCGGAAGGGGGGGGAAAGCGTCCGGACCGGAAGGGGGGGAAAGCGTCCGGACCGGAAGGGGGGGAAAGCGTCCGGACCGGAAGGGGGGGAAAGCGTCCGGACCGGAAGGGGGGGAAAGCGTCCGGACCGGAAGGGGGGGAAAGCGTCCGGACCGGAAGGGGGGGAAAGCGTCCGGACCGTACCGGAAGGGGGGGGAAAGCGTCCGGACCGGAAGGGGGGGAAAGCGTCCGGACCGGAAGGGGGGGAAAGCGTCCGGACCGGAAGGGGGGGAAAGCGTCCGGACCGGAAGGGGGGGAAAGCGTCCGGACTGGAAGTGGTTAATGAGCAATCATAGTTACAGCACGAGCAACGTTTCGGAGTGTAGTGGGACCCTTTCATCAGGCATGGGACATGTCTGATGAATGGGTCCTGCGAGACTTCGAAATGTCGTGGGTTTTTTTTTTTTTTCTTTTTTTTTTTTAGTGTTTTCAGCATTTGCATTTTTTAGCAAAACTATACTCCCACAAAAGCTTGAGGCAGATGAATGCCGGATAGTCACATTTTTCAACATTAGAGCCTTTTTACAGCTGAAAAAAAATCCTTCAAATGCAGTATTCCTGTGGGGGGGTGGGGGGGGTTCCAGCCTGAGAATGCTAATAAAAGCCTGTGTGTACATGGATACATAGAATAAAATGGTGAGGAGTTTACTGACTGTAGAAACAACTGCTGACACCCAAAACAGCAGCTGTACAAATGCCTAGTGTGCACGAGGCCTTCGCCCTGGTTCACATCTATGCGGCTGCGAGGGCCACGTTTTGCGCTGGCACGAGGGCCCAGTCATTTGAATGGATTCCTGCGACACGCAGGGGAGAAGTCCCCCGCACTTCTTCTGAAAACGCAGCCCACACGGGAACCTCGGTTCCCAGTACGGTTGCGTTTTCCAGTGCGGTTGGCGTACCATTAGAATGCGGGTCCGCGTTTCCTCTGTGCGGGTGGCACCGCTGCACGGATTTTTTGTGTGGATCCGCAGCTGCACCACCCGCACATATGTGAACCTAGGATCAAAATGTTACACCAATTGGAGGGAAGAGACACACAACCTGCACACAAGATCAGAGCTGAGGCTGTCAATCTGCTGGAGGGTCCCTCCCGTCACCATTTTTCTTTTGATGTCAGGAAAACTGGTCAGAAGTGACTCATACTGATGGCAGAGGAAGGAGGCAGCAGACAGAAATGACACTTAGTGCTCTGGATTGAGACAAGCGCACACTATAGAGGGATATGCTTTGCTCACATTTTCATGTCTGTGGTTTGCAACCAGTTTAACTTACACCAGCAATAAGACCAACAAATTTATAGGGAATATCTGATTGCTTTTTTTTTTGGGGGGGGGGGGGGGGGCAGGAAGGATATTTTTGGAGCAAATTGGTTCATACTTTTTATTGGGGCTTGTTATTGCTTTCGTGTGTGTGTGTTGCTTTTTTGATTTCTCCTCTGTGGGTTTAACTTGATGGACTTGTTTTTATTTTTTTTTTTCCCCCAACCAGCGTAACCATGTAATTATTATGATTATACAGTATTTATAAAGTGCCAATAGTTTGCTCAGCGCTGTACATTACAAAGGGGGACAGAACATGTGACAGAACAATACCAATACAATGCAATACATGAGGGGATCGAGGGCCCTGCTCTTTGGAGCTTACAATCTAGGAGGGAGGGGATGGTGGTACAGGAGGAGATAGCTAGTGGTGGTGGGAGGAGTGGAGGAGGTCGGCAAGTTAGCAGGGGGTGGGGTAGGCTTCCCTGAAGAGATGGGTTTTCAGGGTGCGCCTAAAGGAGAGGAGAGTAGGTGATAATCTGATGGGTTGGGGCAGGGAGTTCCAGAGGATGGGTGACACCCTGGAGAAGTCCTGGAGGTGGGCATATAAATTGTATTAAAGATAGTTGCAGCCATTGGTATGGTACACATAGTTGCAGCCATTGGTATGGTACACATAGTTGCAGCCATTGGTATGGTACACATAGTTGCATTGATCCCGCTTGGACCACTGTACCTATGTAAACTACCTGTCCGATGTGCCCGGAAGCTGGAAATGACTGAAGTAGACCCCGCTACCACAGCGTTCCTCCGCTTAGTTCTGAGTCCGCTGGCAAGCAGCTGGTCGGCTGCCTTGTGAACACAGGAGGTTGGTTGCTCGGCACGAGGGCCCATTAGTCCCGCTAGCTGGAGGTAAGCCAGGCTCACGTGTGCCGCGTTTGGTCGCATCGGTTTGTTGAGATTATGAAAGAATGGTTTCATAGACTTTTTTTTTTTTTTTTTTTTCTGGGACTGTATTGTTTTGGTGTGTGATCTCTCTGAGCCCGTCATTGGTGGTGTTCTGTAATGGCTGTGCGAGTCCCTCCCCCAGGTGTGATCACAGGGCCCGTCATTGGTGGTGTTCTGTAATGGCTGTGCGAGTCCCCCCCCCAGGTGTGATCACAGAGCCCATCATTGGTGGTGTTCTGTAATGGCTGTGCGAGTCCCTCCCGAGGTGTGATCAGAGAGCCCATCATTGGTGGTGTTCTGTAATGGCTGTGCGAGTCGTCCCCCCCCCCCCCCCCCCCCCCCCCCCCCGAGGTGTGATCACAGAGCCCGTCATTGGTGGTGTTCTGTAATGGCTGTGCGAGTCCCTCCCCGAGGTGTGATCAGAGCCCATCATTGGTGGTGTTCTGTAATGGCTGTGCGAGTCCCTCCCCGAGGTGTGATCAGAGCCCATCATTGGTGGTGTTCTGTAATGGCTGTGCGAGTCCCTCCCCGAGGTGTGATCACAGGGCCCATCATTGGTGGTGTTCTGTAATGGCTGTGCGAGTCCCTCCCCGAGGTGTGATCTCTGAGCCCGTCATTGGTGGTGTTCTGTAATGGCTGTGCGAGTCCCTCCCCGAGGTGTGATCACAGAGCCCATCATTGGTGGTGTTCTGTAATGGCTGTGCGAGTCCCTCCCCGAGGTGTGATCACAGAGCCCGTCATTGGTGGTGTTCTGTAATGGCTGTGCGAGTCGTCGTCGTCCCCCCCCCCCCCCCCCCCCCCCCCCCGAGGTGTGATCACAGAGCCCGTCATTGGTGGTGTTCTGTAATGGCTGTGCGAGTCCCTCCCCGAGGTGTAATCACAGAGCCCATCATTGGTGGTCTGTAATGGCTGTGCGAGTCCCTCCCCGAGGTGTGATCACAGGGCCCGTCATTGGTGGTCTGTAATGGCTGTGCGAGTCCCTCCCCGAGGTGTGATCACAGAGCCCATCATTGTGGTGTTCTGTAATGGCTGTGTGCGAGTCGTCCCCCCCCCCCCCCCCCCCCCCCCCCCCCCCCCCCGAGGTGTGATCAGAGAGCCCATCATTGGTGGTGTTCTGTAATGGCTGTGCGAGTCCCTCCCCCCAGGTGTGATCACAGAGCCCATCATTGGTGGTGTTCTGTAATGGCTGTGCGAGTCCCCCCCCCCCCCCCGAGGTGTGATCAGAGCACACAATGCTTTGTTTTGGCTTCTATCAAACCAGTTTAACCAGTAATGCTGCTTGTTGTGTAGGAACAGACCGGAGAAAGGTTGGTGTACAAACTGTAGAATCCGTTCCTCTGTGAACCTGCAGGATATACTTCAGCCATAACAACTGAAAACGAAGCCTTGAAATGTATTCGGGAAGCTCGCCCTTCCTTGTCAGGGCTTCACTTTCATGCAGTCACAGCGATGTGCTGGCCATCCGACTGTAGCGTGGGATCTGCTTTCTTACCAGTTTGCAGGAAGGGGGCGCTATTCTAGATTCACAAAGTGCTGGCCTCTTGTAGGCTCCTGCACACAGCCGGACTTATCAGTGTTAATAATATTGCCAGCCTTTGATACACACAAACCTTAACCTCTTCACACCGGCCGAACGCAAATGTGCGGCCTCCCGGGCCTAGACGCCGAGCTGCCGCACAATTGTGTTCTATTAAAATTGAACATGTGCTGAGAGAGCGCGCGCCCTGCGCACTCCCAGCACCCATGTCCGGTACTCACGGAAAGGTCCCGATCTCCTCTTTCGATCGGGACCTTTCCCGATCATGTCACGGCGGTCACATGACCCTAAACCTCACCTCCCGACTTCTGAAACCCTTGAAGGGCCGGGGGGTCAAGTGGTTAATTTTTCTTTTTTTTCCCCCTTCTCCCTCCAGCCTGTATTCCCCCTTGCCATAGGGGCTAACAATCTGCTCATAATTATACACCTAGAATGGTACAATGGGTCAGAGGGACCTGAGAAATAACACATCCCCTTTAGAAATGACAAAAAAAGCATATCTGTTCATGTAAAGGAGCGCGGC